GCTTGGTCATCTTGCGCTCCCTGTTTTGGGGATGGCATGACGAATATGGGGTTTTCCCAAGGTTAGGGGTACTTTTTTTGGGGAGTCCCCATATCAAGGATTGTAGTATTTGGGGGTGTATATTGAGGTCCCCCTGTTTAGGGAAACTACCATATATATATATAATGTACACATTGACATAGATAATCATAGAGGGTTCCACTGGGGTAATGAAGGAATGGTGTAGGGAGCACGCCTGCTCCCTAAACTGAGCATGGAACTTGAAAAGCAGCTCATACTCACGACCGCCTTTTCGGAGTGGATCTCGTGAAGTCTATGTTAATTTAGTGGGTATGGGCTTTATCCAAAAAAAAAGCTACTTCTTATGCCTAATCCCCATTGCCTGGCAGGGCTTGTTCACGGCCTATGTATATATATATATAGGGGTATAATGAAAGGATTCAGGGAGTATATATATATATATCTATCTATATATATATATAATGTATACACGAGGATTGCCTAGGGATGACATAGGTTGATATAGGGATGTTATAGGGATTATATTGTGGTATCTGGCTAATAATTTAGAATCAAATCGAAAACAAATCGACAACCAAACGGATAAAGGATAAAGCTCTTGAGGGTTTTATAGGGATTGATTCAATTCACGATGTTACGCAGTAAGTATTTTCAGATGTGGCGTGAAGTTTTGAGTGTGAGTGTCAAGCAACTTGTAGGGCCTGGCTCCCAACCATGAACCATGGGCTCCCTGAACCCTAACTCCTTAGTTTAGGGTTTAGGGTCTAAATCCTGATAGTCCCCCTTAAGTAGATAGAACATGGGGTATATGGGGATCTTAACCCAAAAGCCTCAAGCGTAAAGTCGTCGCAGCTGGAGCTGAGCCCTTCTTGAAAGAAGTTGCTTACCGGATGCCCTGGGGATTTCCTTTCATTGTGGGGGTTCACGAAAACAACGAGGATCTACCCCAAACAGGAAAACAAATTGCGACGATCCAGCACTTCAACTCCCAAAGCAGGGGACATCATGATCAGCCCACATGCGCATGATTACCAGAAGCCAGTGAGCGCGAACAGAAACGACCCTGATGAGCTGGAGCCAACTGCCAGAGAGAGCACCCTCTGCTCGCCTAAAACCCGACTGCAGATGGTGAGACGGCGCCGGGACCAGAGGCGCGGCCGTGTCCTACTTGTGAGTCCTGGGCCTGCCCAACTTGCAGCTATTTGAGAATTTGTTTTGACGTGAACCTCCGAGTACTTCATAAACTGGGTAGCCCGGGGACTCTTCGAAGCATAGTAGCCCACACTGCTGCATCGGAAGAGTATGTTATGTAGCAAACGTCAAGACTAGATCCCGCTCTATGCTTCAAGGGTCTCCGGCTTGAAATGACAGCATTTCAGGAGGGTAGAGGAAGAGTGAAGAGCCGACGCTATTTCGGAAGTTATTGATGACAGGGAGTCAGTGGAGGGATCATAGCATACCAAAGAGTCGAGAGGGCCATCCTTCTTTGGTGTCAGAGTTTTTTCTTGTAGCCGCAAGGATTCCTTTGTAGCAGTTTTGGGCAGCCCACAGGTGTAGAAGGTTCTTGTTTAATACGGAGCATTCTACATCTTGTGGAGGCTGGAGAAATCCTGCACCGCTTAAAGTCCAGCAAGCTTTCGTTTCCTCCATCCACACTAGCAGGCTCCTCCCCCCCTCCGTTTGTCATTAATTAACAACGTTGATCCCAGTAGATGTCAGCAGGGAGAAGTCATACCACAATGGCCCATGATGCAATCAAGTCTTTTTGCCGACTAGCCCTTAGCCAGTGACTGTCAGGGCGAGCCAGTGTACCCTGCTCAAGTGGAAGCGGGGGGTGCGTACGTCTCCAACAAGGAGAGAGTAAGGTTGTTGCCTTGACATTGAGGACAGTCTAGATTTGCTTTTAAGTCTTGTGCTTGAGGCCCTGGGTTTTAGGGTCAAGTCTTGCTTGGCTTTTGGCCTTTAGTGCGGGAAGCTCCAGAGGTTGGGTGTAGGCTAGGTCTTCTTGGCTCTAGGGGTGCGGCGGGTTCAGGCTTCAAGAGCCGCGAAGGAGAAGCCTTCAAAAACCCAGCGTTTCTCAGTGGTCATCAGAGAAGTTGACTGCACGGATCAAAAAATCACAGAGGTTGTAGGACTGCTTGTGCTGATTCACCTCTGCCTATGAACTTAGGAGCCATCAGGCAAGCGGGTTCACGCAGCAAATCTCCTAATCCCTAAGTCCGAAACCTTTGCGCCACTATCCTGGATTTCAAGAGTGGTCTCTCCTGAAGCGGTTTGGCATGTGGCTTAAGGTGTAGGTTTGGGTCTAGGGTTTAGCATGCCTTCATATTGTGATTTCGGCAGCTGGTCTTCGGCTATTGCTTATGCTCCCTTGCGGGCCCGACCAACTGCTGACCCCCTGATTTTAAGTACGTGGAGGTAAGCTGAGGTAAGTATGACTTCCCTGTTGGTAAGCAGGTAGGGAATAGGAAAATGGATCCCTATAGTAGACCCCATTCGCCCAATTATTCTCCGCAGAAGACCCAATCTGCATTAATCCTCCATCATCTAGTAGTTTGAATGTTCTTTTCGGTTCTTTCGATCCCTATGGACAACCAGCACGCCGAGGGTGCTGAGCTGCAAGAGACATGCCTCGTTTGAGTCGCAGCTAGTTGGTCATAGATGTTGGTCCCAGAATAGTAATCAAGGATCGCTTCTTCAAAGGACCTTCAGATCAACCCGCAAACATGGATTGTAGGCCACCTTCTGCACCATTCAACTCTGCGTTATCCTCAACCCTATATAACCCCTATATCATCCCTACAAATACACCAAAAGTCCCTGCATAACCGCTTTTCAGAGGAGGCCAAAGCATACTACTGGGTCTTCCAGATGCGCCCAGTGCGGCAGGGAGAGATGGCAGCGCGTCTGGGACTCCTGGTGGCACATGAGTGGCCTGGGGTGTACAAAGTTAAGGTTTAGGGTTTAGGGTTCGTGGTTTTAGGGTTGAGGGTTCGGGGTTCGGGGTTTAGGGTTCAGGGCCTAGGGTTCAGGGTTTAGGGTTTAGGGTTCGGGGTTCAGGGTTTAGGGTTCAGGGTCAGGTGGTATATTAATACGAGGTATGGCTGATATAGGGTTCTATCTAGGGTCGTATAGGGGTTCGAATAATGAAGAATGGAAAAGGCATAAAACAGTGGCGTGGAAACTGAAATTGTAAAGGTGTCTGCACGGTTTATATTGAAAATACTTGTCTGGTTCGCACTGAGTTTTCTGCGTGGCCCAAAGACCTGAAAGCGTTTAGTGTTTAGGGTCTAGGGGCGTCGGAATCATGGTGGTATAGTATACTGAGGTCATCCAGAATTTTTCAGTCTCGACCCTAGATTGTTAAATGATTCCATTGAGTGTTTACAGGGGTTTCTAGGGATATTGGCACGTCTATATATAAGTGTCCAATGAGGAGACCAGAAGTACGGATCCTGCATCATGCGCATAGTGGTTGAGGGATGATTGTGCCTATTGCTACCTAGAAGACCAAACGCTCTTAGTCCGCAACACTACTTCCATGAACCCTCCTAGATATTTACTTGGCCTTGGCCACCAATTCTGCTCAACAAATACCTTAGCTCAGAGGGTGTCTGTCGGGCACAACATCGCGCTTAATGCGCTCGGCGAGACGTTGCTAGCTGGCGACCCTCAACATACAACTTATCAGCCTGAACCCTAAACCATAGACGTTCAGCCATAGATGAGAGCTTGTCAAAAAAGTTCGCTTTATATCGCTATATTTCCTGTGAGAAGATCCTCATGAGCCCATTTGTCATCCGCACGCATCCCTAAAGCTTCTATGGATGCCCTCTTTCAGAAACTCCCAGATGCACACAAGTCCTTAATCCCTTACGCCTACAGGAGCTGCTTTCGAGAACGGCTGGCCGGACCCTTTCGGCAAGTCTGCAGAGGACATAAGCTCACATGGTAGTTTCCATAAATAGGACCCCAACATAGACCGCAACATGCTATAATCCTTATTCTAGTGAGGGAAGGAACCCTTCATTATGGGAAACCCCCAAATGTGCCAAATTTCCAGCCAAAGAGGTAAGCTAAGGTCTGCGCTACAATTGCAGAAGAGATTGGTCAAGAAACAGGCGTATGAAAGGCTGAAGGTATGACAGTAGCCAGAGGGCTGACACCATGGCAATCTTGTTATGATCAGGCATCGCTAAGCTCAGAACAGTATTGGGCTCAACGACTGCAAGGCATAGCAGTAGTGGCCTTTAACAGACTATTTGTCTACGAGTTCCCGACGCTGAGCTACTCGAACTTGAGGAGTTGTGCTATGTCAGGCTATCTTCCTAAATGGTGGCCAGGTCTAGTCCATGAACAGTAGCAACAGCAGCTGGTGCAAGTCTGGAGATTTGAACGCGGAAGCTAGCAGTGGAGGATGTTGCTAGCTGGTTGTGGAACGATCTGCTGGCCAGCAACCCATTCGGTAACTACGGCGTCCTGGTCCCTTGGGAGGAGTTTGTGCACTGTTTTTTGTTTTGTGATCCTGTAAAGTGTACAGTTTCAGACAACATGAGGTTTTAAACACATACATAGTCTGCCTGTATGTGTAGCTATCATATTCAGCTCAGGTCCCTTGGCCAGAAGAGGATGATGACCAGTGCTGGTCCCAGCTTCCTGGGGTCACAGGGACATGCGTCGGGACAAAGGGCCTTCAAAGATTTTCCCAAGTATGGTAGAAGCCTGGCAGCCTGGATATGATATTCAGAGTACTTTTCCCTTGCAACCATCGTATTACTTGATCATAACACGATATCATACCCCAAGTGCAGTACGGCTTTCTTCACAGGTGGGAGCCCACCTAGCGGCCTTTTGCAAGGGCCATTGGTGCAAACTGCTGGAGGTTTACACATGTTTACATGTACACATATATATATACAGACATATATACAGAAGGTGTATATATATATATAAAATACACATATGTATCTACATGCAGATATGTACAATACATTTGCAAGACGAGTGGCAGAGCCCTACCCAATCCGAACCTAACTGTTGATGCTTCTGCACTCACTCAGGTTGGGTCACGGGGGCTGGGTGGCCTACTCCCGAAGGCAGGTCTGCTACATCACGGCCAAGAGCTTCTTCGGTGGGAAGCTGTGGAGGTCCCAGGGCTAAAATTGAGGATGATGATAGGTAGCTATATTGGGAAACCCTACTATTTACCATAATTTCCCATTATGGTAGGGTAATTAAAGGGTTGCCTCTCTAAGTTATCTGATTTTGGGTCGCAGCTCCTTCGATATGCTTGGCCTTCATGTTTCCAGATGCCTTGACAGGTACAACAGTGGCTTGTTCCGGCTGATGAACATGTGCACAGAGGCTTGCGACTTTCGGGCCTCCTTTGCAACTCTCCTTGCATCTTGCGCTGCAGACGAGACGCTGGCAGATGGAAAGCAGGGCCCCATGATCCTCGTGGCCAAGGCAGGGGTTGCGCCGCCTGTGGAGGAGGTCAGGGCACTTGCCGAGAACGTCCAGCTGGAGTCTTCCGGGCTGCGCATCTGTGACTACGATGCAGAGGCTGGGCCATTTGAGAATGTTGAGGCGGTGCCGCCAGCAGGCTGCGCACCGCGCAGTGCGACGGCGCCTGGTGTCGACTTCATGACAGGAGGATTGGAAAGGCAAGTTACGCAAGATATTTCTGCCTCTTGGTTCGGAGGATACCTCTTCGATGCCAAGGCATGTGGTTTGGGTGGTGGGCAGGATGAGCGCCTCTCCGTCTACTTCCCAGAAGTTACCATCCTCGCATACTTTCTGTCGACCAGTAGCCCGTATCCGCAGGTGCGGCAGCCTGTGTGGTTCCTCGGAACCCGGAACTTCTTCAAGAACTTGGATGGCACGGCCCGCTTCGATTCGCCACTGGTGCTTTCAGACGTTCCTGTCGACGACAGCAACCTGGAGACTGTCACCCTGGCTGGAAATTCGTATCAGATCGACAAGTCTAGGCGCACGACGTGCAAACTTGTCATGTGGACAGAGTAGACACTGACTGTCGAGATGTCATTGTAATGAGATATCAGTGTAATGGATCTGCAGTTCATATCCCTTTCTCATCACGCTGCAGGCTCTGCATGGAGTTATCAGCTCTTGAGTCACTTTGCGTCAGCGTTTCTTGCGAATGCTCCGTGGCCTGTCAGGCCTGTAGTCGTCTTCATGAGCGAGAGCCAGGGCTTTTTCGACGAGACGAAGCCTAATTTGGAGCTTGGGTGACATTGAGAAAGTTTTGGGTGTCAGTCCATGTGAACATGTTGGAAAAGTGATCTTCCATGTGCTTAGCAGTTTTGAGAACACATATAGCATGGCCGTATAGTTCCGATCACCCGGACAAGTCGAGGCTTTGGCACGCACCAACCGGTTACCAAGTCAGCGAGACATGGGCGCCGGAGAATTTGCATTTGAGAAGCAGGCACCTCCATGCAAGGATTGGCCCTCAAGACTTCCTAGAAGGCTTTAGCTACCCAGGGGGCATGGACGGAGCTTGTAGGATTGTACGGTGTGGCTTGGTATCTGTGAGTTGGTGCAAACCCTTGTCGTCTTCTGACAAATCTTGGACTGGGGTGCTCAACGGCCCTGAGGAACTGCTGTTAGATTCACTGGGAGTGAGCATGCTGACCATCAATTTGCGCGTAAGCTATTTCATGTAACAATGCAAGCAATCTACAGAAGATTGACAATATGGTTTGCTTTGTGACGCAACGTGCTTTTGATTGCTGTGCCAGGAGCATGAACAATCTTGACCTGAAACCCTAAGATGGGAACCTGATACCAAGCATTTCCTCTCCTGGCTTGTGCCTGAAACGTGGGGAGGAAAATCTTGGTTAAGACCTCAACAGAACCCTGAAGTGTACATGAGCCCTGGATTCTAGAGCCTGATAATTGAACCCTCAAGCAGAGTTGAACACTTGCAGGCTCGAAATTCTAAGCCCCGAGCCCAAAACCGTTAAACCCTAAGCCCTAAACCTTAAAATCCTAAACCCTAAAACATAAACCCTAAACCATGGCCCTGACATCCGATTCCAGGTGCGTGCTTGGTATCGATCCATGGCCTTGAACTCCTATGACGAGGTGGTCTCTTCCGCCCTGCTTGCTTACTGGGGGTTAGTAGGGAACAAGGGAATATATGATAATATGTATATACATATATTATATGGGTTTAGGGTTGAGGGTTAGTAGGGAATAAGGAAATATCTTGGGGTTATATTGGAAACTACTACATTATAATAGTTTGCATATATCCGGGGGTCAGTAGCAGATAAGGTGGTATTGGGGATCATATTTCCGTCTTCCCTACTAAGCACCAGTAGGCTTGAGCCTCCTACCGCAAGACCTCCTAACCTCTGGGAATTTGTTGCATAGAACTGAGGCATCAGACCTGGGTGTATCTCGGTAGATGGCACCTCATACCTGGAAGTTGTTGAGATTGGTAGTGGAAAGAACACGAAGAGCTTCTTCCAAATCTAAGTGAGAGGTTTCCATGTCATAAGGTCGGTGGTTGCGCAATCGCCAAGTCCCTGTGCATATCCGAATCCTAACTTCTGAGCCCAAACTGTAAACCCCGGATCAGAAACCCTAAGCACTGTCCTATCTCCGAAGCCCTCAATCTCAAGCCCCAAGCCCAAATCAGAAAGCCCAGACCACAATCCTAAACCCGAAGTTCGGAACCAACACCACCTATAATAAGCCTTAAACCCAACAGAATTGCAAAGCCCAAGCCTTACACCCAAATCACAAGCCCAAATACCTCATCCTGACTCCAAGGCCAAACACCTCAAACCCAAATCAGAAATCCTAGCTGTAAATCCCGAATCCTAAGCCCAAACTTGAGGCGCAAATCATACGCCCTAAACCCTACCCCTGACTTTAAATCCGAGGACTGAAGCCCGAACTGTAAAGCCCAACCCCTAAACCTGCTCTGACCCTACTATCCTGGGTTGCTGTTACTGAGCTTGCGTTAAGTTCCCATAATAGGAGCTATGGTACATCGGATAGATTCCTTATTATGCTAACTTAAGTTGCATTTCTTCGCAGCAACCCAGGAACCCTCAAGCCTCAAGCTCAAATGGTGGTTTCCAGAAGATACGGGAACCCTAAACTCCATAAATCCCTGCGTCTCCCTATGCAACCTTTAATCCCAGGTAGCCGTACATTCTACATCCCCTAAACCCTAAACCCTAAAGGGACCCTCTCATGGGCCCCACGGCAGCAGGCTGTTCGACCCATCCTTAAGCAGCTGAGCAGCCTCCAGGCTTCAGGTACTAGGGATTATATACGGGGTATATAGGGTTTATAAGCAGCTGAGCAGCCTCCAGGCTTCAGGTACTAGGGATTATATACGGGGTATATAGGGTTTATATAGGGGTTCTTTAGGTGTTATATTATAGGTAGAATGGAAAAGAAAATGGAAACTGGGTCCTTCCTTTTCAGGGTCCCAACAATAAGGATCATAGTATTTCCTGCTTATGGAAGCTTTTGGGTTCAGGGGTCATATAGGAATTGTATGTGGTTTAGGCAGAGTCATGTGGAGGAAAAATGCAACATGAAATTGAAGCTGGGATGTGATCGTGGTTTGCAGGGTGTTCATGGTGTACAAGCCCGATAGGTTACCAGTGCTATCTCCTTCTGATCCTTATATAGCTATATTGTACTAGGTCTTATTCTACTTATTTGGGCACGGCAGTGGATTCGGGGGGGTTCTGAAGGGGCCTCTATAGAGGTTAGACTGGGATGAGAAGGCAATTAGGGTTCTCAAGGCACTGTTTTGATATGGGGTCCCCATAAGAAGGATTATGATATATTGGGGTATATAAGGGGGACCCTAAATTTGGGAAACTATTCTGTTGATCTTTCAGCGGTCGAGGTTCAGTGGGCGCTGGTCCGTGGCTTGCTGGGCTCTGGTGCCTTGGAGAAAGGAGGAGGTGTTCCCTAAGACTGTCTGGCTCAGGGACTGGTTGGGTGGGTGGGTGGGTGGGGGACTTTCAGGAATGAATACTGAGAAGCTTACATGACGAAGCATTGCCTCATTCTCAGTAGAGCTTATCATTACTATGCCAGGACTGTAGGACTGTAGGCAAGCATATGAGTCGTTGGCCGGCTTCTGTTTTGCTATGATTTATGGCAGGGACTGCCGGCATGTTTTGTGCTAACGAAGATTTGTTCTGCAAGGAAACTGCTGTACATCTGGGTAGCATTGTTTTGTTGAACTGTCGGGCGGCAGCAGCCGGGCTTCTACTACGAACCAGGGTGTTGAATTGTCTGATCTTTGGGTCACACATTGCATGGGATGTATGGTTTTGAAGACCGTAAGTACTTGCAAGTCACGCGGCGTGCAAGGTTCTCTAAAAAGAGTCAAGTAGACTAGCTACCAAAGAAAGAACTCGTTGCTCTCACAGAACGGTTTACTATTTATGTATGGGGTAGCCTTAAACCTATAGCCTCCAGCCTTAAACCCTACAGCTTGCACTCTGAAATCCGAAAACCTCACTGCCAAACCCTTAAGCCCAAAGCCCAAATCCCAAACCTGGAGCCCGAAGTCCTTTATCCCAAGCCCTCCTAAACCCCCAACCCTACCCCAAACCCTAGACCCCAGACGCTGAACTCTAAACCCTAAATCCTAAACCCTAAACCCTAAGCTCCTTAAACCCTAAACCCTACATATCCCTGTATACCCCCTATAACCCCCTTTAAGGGTACCTCTGAATTTCCCTAAACCCTAAGCTCCTTTAGCTTCAGCAAGGTGGGGGGATTCCCAGCTTGGCTTTCTTGCTGCCTGGTTGGGGCAGGTCTCCGAGCTGGACCTCCAGGGCTGAAGGTTATGAATTTTGGGTGGTTTGGGCTGCTACAAGGGCTTCAGGTACGGGTTTTGGGTGGGTTGGGGTTTAGGATGTCGGGGTTAGGACTTAGGAGTTTGGGTTTTGGGTTTGTGTTTAGAATTTTAGGATTTTGGGGCTTCAAGGCTGAGGGTATGGGATTGTGTTTTTTGGGTTCAGGCTGTGGGCTTTAAAGAGGTGGTGGTAGTTGCCATTTAAGTAGGACTTAGTAGTTGTAGGAAGCGAAGCCTTTGCGGCTTGCGAGGAGGCAGACTAGCAGTGGCAGCAAGAGAACTCTGGTATTAAGAAGATCGTGAATTGAGGAGCACCACACGGCTCCCTCTTGAGGATGTGGGTCCCAGCCCGCCAGAAACTCTTGATCTACGGTAGGCCTTGGACCCTACGCCGTTCTTGTAGCCCCGAACAAACTTAAAGTGTAATCTGCACCTAAAACCTGCAATCCCACATCTTGATCACCTTGAGCTGCCAATCCCAAACCATGTTGAACGCTGGCGCGCTACATCACACATCAGGATCGCTCTCCTCTGGCTGCTTTGACTCTCCCAGATGCGCAGAAGACTAAGGTTTTAAGGAGGGCACGGGAAAACAGAGTGGATTACCAGCTGTTTCGTAGCGCATGAGGACATCCAGGCTTGCATGTCTATAGTAGTCTCTATACTCCAACAAGTACCCGTGTAATTTCTTATCCGCTGACCTTTGAAGAAATAGCATCTTAAACGCCGGCCTTCAATCCCAGTCCCTAATCCCAAGCCCCAAACTCGAGATTCTAGACTCCAAACCCTTAACCTTAAACCCTAGAGTGCTTGCAATGCTTCTGACAGGCCCTGGCGGCTAAAACGTGGGATCAGCCGCTGCCTCTGGCTGCCTGGCAGGGGATCACTTGGGTTTAAGATTCAGTGGAGGTACTCTCTTAAACTGGAAGAAGGGGTCACTTCCTGGTGGTTCCCCAACCCATTCCTCGATTATCTACACGGCAAGAAGTGGTAGCAATGATCACCATGATCAGGAGGAGGAGGAGAGGGAGGAACTACAACCGCCCACACCAAAACTGTTTGACCTGCCTAGGATTATTACCTCTATGCCGACTTTACAGAGAACCCCGGCAACATGTGCTACATCCTGCCTGGGGCTTCCTGTGAGAAGTGCTTGGACATCTGCCAGAATCCAGACCCGCCGGAGAGCGCGTGCCTTGTCGTGCGGGTTCAGGGTTTCGGGTCTTTACCTCGAGAAGATTTTGGGTTCAGAGAAAAACTTGGCTGTTAGTATTCCTCCCTCCAATTACCTAATGATCAATAGGCGTTGTAGGCTAGCCGTGTGCTGTTGATAAAGCGCCCCCGCTGATTCTCATAAGCAAGTAGTGTAGCTTTCCATCCAAAACCCTGCCCATGACGGATGTTTTCACACACACACACATGTACTGTGCCAGAACACCTCGATGGGGTGACCAAAAGCCGCCGATTGTGCACTGGTTCCAGGCTGTTCCTCGTTAGGCTTCCCTCCTTTGCCTGCTCGGCGGGAAGGGTGGCACATGTATGTATGGCAACCACGCGTTGCGGCTCAGCCATACGTCCTATAGCAATTTACAATACGTAAAGAACCTCCTGCCCATACAGCGCAATGCGTTGGAGGTCTTACAATCCACACCCCATATGGCCCCCCCAAGGTACTGGATGCCTGACAACGCCTTTGTTGGTGGCCGACCATGTGTTGAAGACAAGTCCATCTGCGGACGCGAGGCTGCCCGGCTTGCAGTGGTTGGCATGGCAACGAAGAAGTCGTGAAACAACAATTGAGTAGTATTTCGTTTGGGGATTTTATGGTACCCAATATAGAGTAAGATAATCTCCTCCTTTTGGGGTATAGTATTTTATATGAGAATATAATCTTACTGGGTTCAACCACCAAAAAACCCTACTCAATTCAACAGCCCACAGGGCTTCGATGACGTGGTAGCCGCGGTCCTTGGAAGGACGGGTTCCAGAATGCTGAGTTGGTGTCAATTGGGAGCATTTGGAGGGTCCCTTTCGGAGAATCCTATCATGAACAGGCATGTACAGGGGCGACCAACTCTTCAAAACAGGCATATGGGCGCTTCTCAGAACAAGCCTATTCGGATACTACAGCCCTTAAAGCCCGAGAAAACCCAACTCTGAAACCCTAAACATTCTCCGATAGTATGCTCCTTAGATTCCTCGATGAGCGGCAGGCTGTAGGAAGCATCCGTAGATTGAGAGTGCCATTGGAACACCAGGGATGGCAATTCAAGTTAAGAAGGTGTTTGCACGACGGTGTTGGTGACAAACACTCTATATATACATATGTATATATATGTATGTATGTATATATATATATAAGTCTTTTTATACAACAGCGACTCAGATACCCTCTAGGGGCTAATCTGTTGATTGCTGTAGCCCGCAAATTCATTTTGATCGCGGTCTGTGACATGAGTTCTAACTCCTGCTCTCACATCTGAAAACTCAGGTGGAGTCGGAATTGTGCTTTTCAAATTGCTGCATCATGATAGCCACAGCTTCCTTTGCTAATGCTTCAGTGAGTCTTCATCCTCAGGCTCCCCTCCCAGCTCTTCTTGAAAATGGTGTCTTCTTCAGGCCCACACCATGGGTAAGGCTTCCAAGACCAGATCTAGGTTTTAGGGGTTTGGGGTCTATGGTGTAGAGGTTCCGGGGATCAATGACATGAATGCAGGAGTGTCGCAGATGTCTGGAGGGAAATCGAGAACAAAGTTGCGGCAAATCCTGTGCCTTGGGCGTAATGTATATCAGTGCTGCTTTTGGGGCCTTTGTCTATATATGAAGAAGATGACCTTGCTCGGTTCGACCACCAAAGCGTGCTGCTCATGTGGACCTTACAGTACCTTTATCTCAAGGAACCGTGCGGATGCCAGATGCAATGTGCCTTCGTACCGGGTCCTTCCCAAATCACATAGTACGGACTAAGCTTGAACGGTTCCAAAGCCTGAAGTAAGTACACTTTGGAACATTTCTCTAGACACCAACTTTCCGAGTGAGGCCGCTATCAGTAGCCCTGATATTAGTGAAAATTGTCGACAATTTTGGGAGTATGTCTGGAAGCGAGCTACGTTGCGAAAAAGGATTATGCAGTCCGCTCCGGTTGGAAGTGAGAGCCCCTCATATGTACCCATCGTTGCCCAGCATTTGGGAGCCGCTACGCACTGCAGATTCATACAATCCGTCAAGGGTACGCCGAGACCCCGCTAGAAAATCGGTTCAAGCCTAAATGACTGGAAGTGGTGCTTGGCTTTGATCTGAGATAGGCCAAGATCAGTCCAGATCTCTCCAACTGCAAGGTGTGGCAAACTTGCAGACTTTGCAGTAATGCCATCTCCCAGATGTTAGAGCGCACGCCCGAGTCCGCTCTGTCAAATACTTTACTGGGGGTTAGAAAGGAATGAGGGAATATAATCCCTACATAACCCGTATCTAATATACGTCCCTATTCCCTACTAGGCCCCCGGAAGTCATGCTGGTAAAGCCTATACCCAGTAGTTTGCCAAGGTATCGGTGAATGTTTTCGACGCGCTCCTGGACGCCCGTCGGATGCAGATCCTCCCATGAGAGGGTTTCCCAAAACTAGGGGTACCTTAAAAGGGAACATAGGATTTTAGGTATAGGGGTTAGAATTTATTGCGGTCTATATTGGGGTCCCCCGTTTTAGGAAACTGCCATGAGGGTTGGTCAAGGAACCGCGGGCACAGGCAGAAAGATTCCTTCACATTGAGGAATGCGCGCAACTTTTGTAGGAGGGTTTCTGCAAGGGTGTCTGTTGCTGATTTAGGGTTTAGGGTTTAGGTTCCACAAAAAGTAGGGACAGTAGTAGGGATGTTCGTGCAAAGTCTGTGAGGATGTAGTCGGGACTATACGAGGTTGTAGGGCACAACTGCTCGGCTTGGAAATTCAGTACTACTTGTGATGTAAGGTTCGTTTCTCTATGATCCCTTATCAAAATGAGACGGTAGAGTTTTTGGAGACGCTGGCCAAATTCCTTAATGGAGAGGTGACGTGATGGGACCTGTGAAAAGAGCAGCCAGATTTTCAAGGCGGCCCTAGAGGAGGTTTCTCCTGAGAGAGGCCATCATGTATTTTTGCGCTTTTTGTAATTGTTCTGCTTACAGTTTTTCTTCTCAGTGTCATTGTTTGCGTGATGATTCCGTCGTCGCCGCTGTCTCTGCCCTTTTCATAACTGGCGTTCTTGATTTAGATTCACCTGGCAACAGGGGGACAGTTTGAACTCTAAGCGTCGCGCCTCCCCACTTCACACTACCTTGTAAATTGTTAAACATATGAATTTTTTTTTTTTTTTTTACTTTAGGGCATGCAGGGTAGAAGTTCTGGGCTCCTCATCTGAAAACATCCTAAACCCAGAGCCCTAACCTTCCGGTTCCTCAACCGCCGGTTTGCAGATTCCTTGCACAGCGGCGCTGCCCCGTTTAAGAGCTAGAAAGTAGCCCTTGGCTTTCCTATGTTAGGAAATCCCTGCACCAATAAGTACTTGTGAATGCAAAGAAGAAGGTGGAGGCGAGGGCGAGTGCATGTGAATTCGTGCATGACTTACCCTGGAGTTTTAGAGCTCCGGCCCTCCTTAGTGGACACAGCCGGATGCACAGTGCTCACCCAAACAGGGAGCTTGAAGCCCTAGACTGTAAGCAGCACACCCTGAGCACCAAGAACCCCAAGTTTGACACCCAAACAATGAGCCAGCCATGAACCCGAACTGCACCGCACCTTTTGGCCCACTGCGGCCCTACATCCCGCAAGGAAGAGGACTTTGGAGTACTTGTACTCGCGATTCGGTCGTCAGGGGAAGCCTACATTGAGACATAGCCACACCCCCATGGCCACATGTGCCTGATGTGTCACCGGCAAAGCCCGGCCCCGGGCAGCTACAGAGCTCGCAAGGATCTCCGGAAGTGAGAAGGTTTGTAAAAAGAATCATGTTGCGCTTGGGGTCTAGTGTTTTGGGGTTGTATAAGGGGACCCCAATTCTTGGAAACTATCCTTGAAATCCTAAACTATGAACATTGATCTTTCAAGCTGAAACCGCAATCTCAGAAGCCTTCAAGAATTTCCTTCCTCCCATGGGTCCTTGCAAAGGGTGTCTTGGCTTCACGCGTTGGCCGCGAGCAAAAACAGCCGGCTTGCACAACATTGTTGGTTGTGGTTGTGCTGGTCATTAATAGCAGCTGCCATCCGTTTAGAATGGCGGTAAGCATGTTACTTACACCTTCATGGTTTTGGATGCCCTGAGATGTACAAGTCTTGCCACCATCATTTTTATGGATGCCGTTGCCACACTTCTACATCTGATTGCCATTATCTTGCCGCAGCGGGGGATGTTTTGGAATTTCTCCAAACGCCGCCATATCCCATGTACCACACCGTTTCCGATATTGGATTCAAGGCTTCCTCTCTGCAGGCCCCATTCTCCTAACTCAACCTACATCACGTTCGCACATAGTGAAGATACTCCCCGCAGAGGCCCATAATGGTAAGCGAGCCTTGCTGGAAGAAGGCCCGTAGAGGAACGTTCCTGCGTTGTTGCAAAGGTTTGATGCTGATTGGGGACACATTAGTGGAATTTTGCGAGATGCGGCCTGCATGAGCAAAAGAAGATTTTCCGGCCACACCCTGCGTGGCTTTACTAGGGAGCTCTATGACCTACACAATTGAATCGAGCTCAAGCCTGCGTCCCTAAATCCTTGGTGGCTGTATGCCCTAGCAACTCAACTACAGTGTACTGAACTTCTTAGAGTGCGGGTATATAAGGTTGTGCAGGATTTCCTTTGTGCACCTCACTGTGGGGTGAGGAAATCTTTCTCCACGTCATAAAGTTAATCCTGTACAGACGCAGTATTACAGGGGAACCAGGTGGCACAAAATTTCCCTCCACCCTAAACCCTAAACCCTGCTAAACCTGAACCCTAAGCCATGAGACCTACGACCAATCTTCTGCAGCTAAGGCCTGCCAAGGAATCTGCTACCGAGCCACTCCCGGAGACCATCTTTCATGGGTTTCACATATGAGCTATAGTACTATAGTCTAAACTCCTCAAAGGGGGTTATATAGGGGATTATTTGGGGGAGTATTCTAGGGGTTATTGGCCATGACCATGAATCATATGAGGGTTTCAACAATCCGGTCCTCTTCTGTGAGTCCCCACAAGAAGGATCATAGTATGCTTGGGTATCATTATGAAAAAGGGGGTCCTTTTTTGTGGAAGCCCATGTAGGGTTAAGATATGAGTCTCAGGGGCCACACCGTTTGAGTGTCGGTTGGGTTCGGGGTGCTCTTTTTGTACAGATAGATTGGGTCAATCCCCCACCCAGTAATGGGTACCGCTAGGGACTATTGTAGGTATATTACGGCCTATTAACTCCATATTTAGGGGCTTGTACTGAAGGGGGGGATTGACCTTAGATAGATAGGTTTGGCGTGATACAGATTGCTCTTCACGTTTGGCGTTGAGTTAGGTTGGATACTGCGAAGACTTGCAAATCCTAAATGATAAACTCTAGAGTCTTCCAGTTTTTGGCCATGTTGGCAGATCCAAGAAGACAGGTTTGGGGTCTGGAGTCTAGGGCTCACAGGCTGGGGTTTCATTAGGGCTTAGGGCTCAAGGTTTAGGCCAAGCTTTTTCTTTCGCCAGTGCTGGAACTTCTTTGAACAGTGCATCGCGTGATCGAGCACTCTTGTATGAAGTCCATCATGCTGTGCTGAAGGCTGTGCCAAAACATTGACAATCCTCTGCTCAGCACAGGAACAAGCAATCTTCCAAACATTTGCTGGAGAGTACTGGGAGCACCTGAAGGGTTGAGCAGATGCCCCGCTTGTGAAAGGAAACTATGAAATATGACATGTAAGCCACCGACTAAGCGCACTGGGGGAATATTCCTGAAGCCTGAATGACATTGCCAATTCCTCTTGAAGGCCTTTGGGAGATAAAGAGGTGTACTGGGCTGGGTGCCGATGTTGGACCGGGTGGATAAGTCGGGCGGCGGGCAAGTGGCTGTAGCTGCCAGCGCCTAGGCGAGTCCAAGGATGTAGGATTTTGTTCTTTGTCAGAGAAGTGTTGAAAGCAGGAGATCAGCTGGAAGCCCGCTGCCGATTTTGGAAAACCTGCTGCTGCCTGAGCACGGGAGTTTCTGAAAGTATGTCATAGAATCCTTGGTAGGGTAGGGATGCCCATAATCCTCTTGCAATCCCCATGGTCCCGAAGGGTAGCTGCACATAGAATTCTTGAGCAGAAGTGGATTGGCCATGAGGCCTGCATACCGGTGGTTGCACGGCTTTTGATGCCCGATCTCAGCTATCCTGTCAAGGCAGTCTCAGGCCAATAATCGCGAGTGCAGGGACTTTTGTAGCTAGAACTTCAGGATGTTTTTATGCCCTTGGCAGCGGCTCTGGTGACATCGCGGGCCATTTGTATGGAATGCTTCTTGCTCTGATCATGCTGCTGACTGAGGTTCCCCGGCCGCCCAGGAGCCCCTGACATCCTGGTGCAAGGGCTTGTAAGCACTTGGACTGGGAATGTGCTTAAGTGGAGCTTTTGCTTGTTGAGTGCTGCTTTCTTTGCAATCTAGGTCATTTTTGTGGCCGTTGCGCAGAGGTTCAGGGGTTTGCAGGGTTTCCGGATCAAATTCCCCACCTCCTCATTGTTTTGTGCCCTAATGTGTTGCGGAATTCTTGTCACGAAGCAGGAAAGGGACTGAAGCTCTTTTCGCGAGGACCATCCGGGCCGCTGGAGCAAGAGCCCGTGGCCAAGCAGAGGTTGGGCACTTCAATTGCGTAGCATTTTTGCATAAGCATAGAACAGCGGAGTAAGATTTTTGGAGCCTCACGTCCTGAGGCCCTTGCTCCTTTTGACATTATTCTGGCAGCCTTAGACTGTAGAGAGTTTTCGAGCAGACTTTGGGACGTCTTACGGGGTCCTTACTCGTGGGTCCCTGTTATACGGGACCTTCTGCAGAGCTCTGCCGCAACCGCTAGCCACGCGTACTACTACATTCTCAGGGTTGAACAGCTTCAAGAATTTAGGGGTTTTATTGGGGTTATATTGGGATAATGGAAAATAAAAGGGTTTGAGTATAGGTTTTATTTAGGGTTTAGGGTTCTACTAAACCTTCAGCCTTATATCATTCGCTGCAGGCCCCCAAACTCCAAACCCACAACTGCGCATAGACAATCCCAGTGTAAAGTAGGTTTTGCACACATAGTTTGCTCGTCTATTCGCTAAGAGCTTGGATTAGAGGGACGTTGAGGTAAGGGTGCGCAACAAACCCGAAGCTCCAACACCTTAGCGGCCAGCACACAACCAAAGCAAAAAGCGCACTCCTAGATCTTGAATCCCGCAGCCTAACTCCTAACCTGAGCCCTAAACCCCCAAAGGCGAAGCCTCAATTCTGAAGTTCGCAATCTTCCGGAAATCCTACCTCCGAAGACTTTTGAGCCCCATATCATACTCTAGAAGAGGGTTTCTGACTATCAGGGGACCTTTTCTGGGATTCTCTACAACAGGAGGGATGATGACATTTAGGGGTTCTCAGGGGCGCCCGCTCTTTGGGGAGGATCTTCATTTCCATTTGGCCTCATTTCCTGCTCCACTTAACCTGAGCCCTAAACCCTCAGCAACATGAGCCGTAAAAATGAATCCCATACACTAAAGTTCCAAGTAGGAGCCGCCAGCAGCACCGGAAGAATGAAGTCCGGGCCCAAGCATTGGTTTCCATGCCAGATTTCTCAAAAATCTTGCTCCTTTTCTTGTGGGGGGTCCTTAGACTACGGACTGTGTCATATTGGGGGCATATGCTGGATCTAGATTTCAGTACCACATCTACAGTCTCCAGCTAAGAAACCATTGAAAAGTTGGGCTTCTGAAGCTCCCAGCATATACTCCTCATGGAAACATGTGAACAAAAACAGCTTCCACGGCGCTCTCAAGTCCCTGAATCACTTGGTAGTTTCCCTAAATAAGGGGACCCCAATATAGACCCCAATATATTATAATCCTTATTATGGGGACCCCTAAAATGGTACCCCTAATTTTGGGAAACCCTAATCCCTATATAACCCC